AGAGAGAGAGAGGGAGGGAGAGAGAGAGAGAGAGAGATAGAGAGGGACAGAGGGAGAGAGAGAGAGAGAGCAGGACTTCTCGCGTCGTCGCATCTTCTCTCGACACGTTGACTAGCAGACGCTGAATTCACCAGCAAGTCTTCTCAAGACTCCGACAAACCCGGGCTGTCGCTTCGATGCTACTTCATCGTCTCTATTCGATATCCTTATAAAGAGCCGGTCAAATCGTTCCTAGCCAGTCGAATAAAACCGTCGCCCGAGCGCCCCCGAGGAAACTCACGGGTCAGCCAGATCTAGATAACGTGAGAGTCAATGTGTTAACACGCTCGCTAGCGACGTCAGCCATGCGCGTGACGCACCGATCTCTCTCACTCTGATCTCCGTTGAAAACTATTCAACCCCGCTGCTCAACACGTTCGCCACCGCTACGCCGCGCCGGCGCGGGCCACATGCGAGCGACAACGATAATCGTTCGTCCCGCGCGTGAACGGTACGCGCAATTACGGCGGGGAGACAAAGACGAGCAACGAGCGGTGCGTCTGACGAACCTGTCGAAAAGTCCATCCCCGCCGAGCGCATCCTCGGCAAGAAGAGTCGAGTCGCGTCTCGCGCTCACACGAGCGGCCCAGGTTCCCCCTTTCGTCGGCGGCTCCACGACGCCGAGCCGACGCGCGTCGCGCCGCCCATTGACTTTTGATTCACTGGGTATGTGGGTCGGCCGAGTGCCGCTCTCGTTGGCAGAGTGGGTCGTCGGTAGTGATGGGCCTGAGTCCCACGCGCACGTCCGACGTCGGCGGCGGCGTCGGCTTACGTAAGAGCGCGTGAAAAAGCGGTCTTTCTGCAACTGAAGCGAGCGAGCGAGCGAGCGAGCGAGCGAACGGCGCGAGCGCGGTGTGCGTCGCGCATTGGAAGGTGTACTTTATACCTCGGCATGGGGGGCAATTAATCTGCCCCCGATCAAGTTTGCGCCCGCTCGGCGGCGGCGCACAGTGGATCGAAACTCCAAATTCTGTGGACATCGACTAAAATTCTGTTCAGGAAACAAAATTTTGTGCAGGAATTAAGTTTTAATGAAATTAATTTTCATAAAATATTTTATTTATAATATTTTTGTCCACCATTTTGATAATAATAGTATTGTAACGAATATATATAAATATGTAGTGTTCCTATTCGGTTTCAACAGCTAGCAACCACGTGAAGGTAAGGAACAAGCTAGCCTTGGGCAAGTTATATCGAATCTTCTTGCATAAATTCAATTAATAAAATATTTGTTACGTATTTTTTGAAAATTTTAAGATTAAACAATCTGTATGAAAACACAAGACTATTGCAAGACTAGTGGATGTTATAAAACAAAATTCGTGGAAACAACCAAGAATAACATAATACAGCCACAGAGGTTCTTCGCTATGAATAGAACTGGATATCAAACAAAAGGACTATTCGAAATTTTGCGATTCTTTTTCGATCCATTGCAACAGATTGAAAAAAATTTATGTCTTGTTTCTTATCAATGTGATGCTGACTTGACACCAAACAGGAATATTTAAAATTCAATAAAAAAAAATTGTTATAAAAATATTATGGAAATATAAACATAAAATATAAATTTACTGAAATTTTCATTACAAATGATTCCTGGGCGAAATTCTGTCTCCGAACCGAATTTTCATTCATGTACAATCATGTACATAATAGGTTAGATGGTTTCTATCCACCATACGATATATAGGAGAAAAGATCGCACGAGATCGCAGCTGAAACCTATACGATTTTTTACTACATGAATGATTCTTTTAAATCCTATTTAGTACATCTTGGACAAATATGGACATTTTTTTTAATTATTCAATAAACATATATGAGTTGAGTTCTACGATTTCGTTCTAATTCATCATAGAGAAAAATGCGCAAAATATAACAAAATCTGGCAACGGATATGATAAAAATGTTCTTGAAGAATCATAGAATTGTGTACCATAAGATAGACAAGGATCGATAATTATTTATATAAAATACAGCGAACACAAATGGACGACTTATGCTTAACACATTTCACTTATCACAGAAACTCGAGACTTTAGACGCTTACAGTCTATCTATATTACTCATTACTTTATATTTTCTGCATTCGGATTATACAGGGTGTCTCATAACTGATGTTGCAGAGCTCATGGAGACATAGAACGGTTTATGACAAACATACAAGTCCCATACCGTTTCGCGAGATTTGCAACAATTATCGAGCTATTAATGACAGAAATCTGAGAAGTAGAAGCGCGCCGACTGATAAATGATTGGAGAAGCGTTGCAGCCATTTCGACAAGAGCGCGGCCCAGTCGATCCAGAAACTGCCGGTGCGCGGCGAGGGGAAGGACAACGTGTCGGTATTCGTGTTTTATTTCGCCACTCCTACGTTTCGCCGCATTCCGCCAATAGTTGCTAGATCGAGAGGCTGCGACGCTTCTCCAATCATCCATTTCGGCGCTCCATCTCACTCGTCAGATTTCTGTCATCAATCATTCGATAATTATTGCGAATCTCGCATAACGGTATAAGACTTTTATGTTTGTCTTGACCCGCTCTATGTCTCCACAAGCTCTGCAACATTACGAGCTACGAGACACCCTGTATATTAGAACTATTTTACAATACTAATTCTAGTAGATGAAGTTGCGAAATTCGAACTTTTATTTTCGGCTCGATGTCCACCTTTTTCACCGTTTCGATCGACTGTGCCGGCGGCGGCGACGCGGCCACCGAGAGGGCGGCGATTGGACGCGTTTCGTCGCGGCGCCTGTGACGGCTAAGACGGCGACGGTTTCGAAAGATTCGCGAAATCCAGCCGTCGGCGCGCCGCACAAACGGGAAATGAGAGAAAGTGAGTGAGCGCGAGAACGCGAGTCGCCCCCCCCTCCGGCGCTGCCGACGCGCGCCGACGAGGTGGTGCGTGCGCGTGTTCGGCACTCGGCTGAGGAAATCTCGATTGAACGCTGGAACGCGCTACTAAGTAGCTCCTGAAATAAACTCTCCGAGTCGACCGTGAGGCGGGGTTGTTGTTGCTGCTGCTTTTTGCGGACTTTCGAATCGCCGATGAAAAGAAGCGCGACCGGTATCGGGCGTAGTAGTAATGTAACTGACCCGTGGCTGCGGCGCGCGAAATTTCATTTCCGCCGCTGAAGATCGCCGTCTGCCGACGGCGATTTGTAAAATACCGCCGCTAATTGAGCCGTTCAACGTTCACGCGGACGTCGCGCGGCTGCGATAATCGATACGTGGAAAGATCGGACGCGAGAGCGGGATCGCGATAAAGCGGCCGCGAGTTACACGGGAAATTCCCGATTAGCAGCGCTAATAAGCCGCGCTGCGTTCGCCTCGGCATATGAAAATCGACAGATGCGGAAATACTACACTACGGATACGTACACACACACACACACACATCTGTCGAGGTGAATGACGGAGCAAACGGGAATGAAAATGCGCGAGAATAAGCGCCGTTCGATAACCTGTCGAGAAATTCGACAAGTAAAAGATGGAATAATTTATCTAACGGTTCATAAACGGACGAACCGTTTAAAAATACAAGGAGGAAACGTGAGAGAAATAATAAAAATAGGAAGAAGTTGGGAATAACACACGCGATTCTTCAAGAAGAAAAAAAGCATGTAGAGCTGCTTGGCGTTGGAAACAAGCTGAAACACTGAAATAGAAGATGAGCGACTCTGACGATCGCGATCGCGAAGAACGCAAACTTTGCTTCGGGGAAGAAGAAAAAGAAAAACGTCTCAAAGACGTCTCCGTTCTTAACCCTTCGAGGCATATAGTGGTAAGTATACTTATTTACACCTATTTCTTCTCACATTTTTATGAAATATTTCATATCTGAGAGAGATTCTTGTCGGATTTTTTGCGTTTTTTAGCTTTTTATATGATATGAGGACATACATGAAAAGTTGAAAGGTGTTTTGCATAAGTTGCCCATTTATTATAAATAAACAAAGTATAAAAAATACACATTTTTACAGAAAAAAATCATTTTCCACGAACTATGAGTGAATTTTTTGCTCAAAATCAAGATTTGGGGGTTTTTTGAGTCGCTGATTACGAATCTGAGGTTCAAATTCCAAAATTAGTTGCCCAAGATGGCAGATCATAGAATTTTTATTAAATTAGCTAAAATTGTACTCTGGCTAGTTTTTGAGGTTGCTGATTACAAATCTGAGGTCCACATTCTGAAATTTATTTCCCAAGATGGTGGATCATAAAATTTTCATATGATTAGCTGAAATTGTACTTTGGTTAGCTTTCAAGATCGCTGATTACGAATCCGAGGTCCAAAACTCCTTGTCACCGAAATTATCGCGATTTTTCATATTTCTTATCGCCGCCATCTTGAATTTCGAAAATCTGATGACAGATTCGTCATCAGCGATCCTAGAAACCCTCGTATATAAATTTTCATGTGATGCGAATTTCCTGCGAAAAATACGTGCTTCAAAGGGTTAAGCGTCTTCCAGACGTCTCTCAAGAGCCTGTGAACGTCTACCTGGCCATGCCTGCCGCGTGGAACGATTCGACAGAGCAATACCTGACGCTATCTGTCAAGCGTCAAGATCGCGGTCAGACACAGTTGATCTTGACGACGTCCTCTCGTCATGGCGCGCGTATATCGACGAGAGACAGCAGCGGCAGCAGATATCCTTAATGCTACACGTATAGCGCGTGGCATCGAGAAATCGTGGGGAAAGGAGCAACAGGCTAGGTCGTTGAACCCGTTCGCGCGAACTAGCGACGAACGGGCGCATCTCGCGGCGCCTTTTTCCCCTCCCTTCTCCCTAGCTCCTCTCTTCCTCTCCTCTCTCTCTCGCTCTCCCTCCCTCACTTTCTCCCCCCCCCTCTCTCTCTCTCTCTCTCTACGGGCGTCTTCTTTTTTTTCTTTTTACAAACGGCGGCTCACACGCAGGACTGCAAAAGCATGCTGGAAGAAGACTCACTTTAGCTGATCCCCCGACTTCGTCTTGCCGCAGACGTCGCTGGTGCGCTCGACTTTTCTGCTCGCCGCTGGCCTCCTCGGGCTGAACAGCGACGCGACCGTGTCCCTTTTCCTGCCCGCGCTCGCCGTTGGCCTCGTTGATGGGTTCGGCGGCTTCGCCCTGAAATCCGCATCGAGACGAATTTAATGTCGAATTCGACTGCTTTCGTTCACCGAACGCGACGATGCTGAATCGATCCGAGTTTGCCGGATATTTAATCTCCCGTATTTCACTTTTCATCCCCGAGATGATCCGACGCGAAACCTAAGTATCTCGTAGAGCGCCCGCATTCTCTGCTGACCTCGTCTCAGTTTTGAGATTAATCCAAGGAATACCAGACTGACACCCAAGAGACTCCGCAACGTTATCTGGAGGATCTGGCTGTCCAAAAGCGACACCGCTAATTGGCTCTTTGTGCGTCCATAAAGATACGGAGAAATAAAGATACTTCGAAGATACACCATTCAGACTTCTCTCGTCCTTCCTCTCCCGACGAGAGTTCAAGAATGCTCCTCACGCGAGCGCATTCGTGCGCACCTACGAGGTGCGAGGTACACGCGATGCATAAACAACGTCAAAGCGCGTCGCTAAAGGCAATTCGTTGCGCAATAAAAAATCGGAGGCGACGGATGGATGTCCGCCGCCCGCGCGCGATAACAATCGTTCCTAAGGCGAATCGCGAGAGAGCCTGACGACGTCGTCGTCGTCGTCGTCGTCGTCGTCGTCGTCGTCGTCGTCGTCGCTGAATCTTTCATTGCGCGAGGAATCGACAGAAAGTTACATAACGTCCCGTGTGCGTAAGTGCGTACGCGTAACGCAATTACCGAGGTGCGTGTACCTGCAGGTGACTAACGGCCAGGATTGCGTAACGCGTGCGTGCGCGCCGTTAACGCGCTCCCCCGGGAAACGGCGGGGCCAGGGTAGGGAGGACGGTGGCGCGATTTCCACGCTAATTTCACGTTGTTGTGGGACTAAATGAGAAAGCAGCCTCTCTCGACGCTGCGGACAAGTCGCTCCGGCGCATGGCAGTGGGGCCAGATGACATTCTCTGGTTCAAAATTCTCTAGAGATCTGAATTTCCAACCGATCATCGACACCAATGGATGAGGTTGATCCTGAATAAATTCCGAAGAGAGATCTGTCTTGCCAAAATTTAAAAAGAAAATTTTTTTTTTCGAATTACTAGCCCCAAAGGAGGAAAAATTATCGTTAAATGCGAGAAACTTGTAGAATACTCATTTCTATCTAATAGCATATTCAGCGGATTGAAAGTATGAAACCAATCAAGACACCTCGAGATTTATCGATCTTGAAGCAGAAACCCATTAACCCAAAATACAAAATATGCCCAAAATACAAAAACATCAAATACAGACCCGTTAAGCACAAAACCGAGGGATTTTGAATCTTAAGCCCATCAACCTAGGAATTTATCAATCCGAGAACTTTTTAGCTCGTGGATGCATGAAGCCGTATATATTAAGAGCCGCAAACAGTCCAAGAACCTAATCTAGCCATAGCTCGAGAATCTAATAATACTCGACGTTGAATATTCAGCTATAAAACATTAAGTTCGAGCCTAGAAACGCTGAATGCCAAATCTCGGGTTCTCCATGCTTTTACTTATTGGGTTCATATGGCTGAATTATCTCTTAATGTGGGCTGAAATGATGAGCTTTGAAATTCTGAGTTTCCTAAAAGGTGATTATGAGTTCTGAGGTCTCGCATTTAGTATCCATAGGCTCGAACCCATTAAGGTCGAGCCCAAGATACTGTACTTTAAACGATAAACTCTTAAGACAAACCCTAAAGCCACGAACCCTAAACCGATAATTTTTTCAAAATTTCGGCTAGACAGATCTCTTTGGAATTTATTCAGAATCAACCTCATCCATTGGTGTCGATGGTCGGTTGGAAATTCAGGTCTCCAGAGAATTTTGAACCAAAAAATGCCCTACTGCGTGGCGGCGACAACGACAACGTCATAATATCTCGGATTCTTCAAGACGTTCTTCAAGAAGAACGGGTCCGCGTTGACGGCCGAGCGATGTGGTATTTTCGAGCAACAACGCGTGGCGTCAAGAGGAAGCCGCTGGGTCAAGTTGGCTCAAGGGTCAGGCGTTGGCGATGCGTCTCGTTCGACTGCTTATTGTGCAAGGGACAATGGAAAGGAAGTTGCGAGGTGTTCCTTCTTTGGAACACGAGGAGACTGCTTATGGTAATTTTGATAACTCAACCGATGTTGTTTATGGTCTCTTGGCCAGCTTGTTCCGCCGATCTTACGTGCGAGTGCCTCCTTATCAGTTTTATTGTGCATTATCTTGGATAATGCAATATAGCAAATACAAAAAGACATTCGCGTTCAATAGAATTTAATCTAAATTATCTCATACCTTATATAAATATTTTTAACCATCTCGCATGAGACGGTTGTGTAATTATCATTAAAGGTCGCAGGCCGCATTCGGCGCGGAGCGAGAGAAGTGAGTTGGTTCGAAGGACGAGGGGGGATAAAGGATAGAGGCTGCGAGCTCATACAACTCGATTCGATGAGTTTAGCGTATCGACGGGTTCCAGTGTGTATCGGCGAGCCGAGTTGATGAGGTCAGTACGATCGCTGACCGCTGGTGGTCAATGCCCCCATCGGATACGTCTGTTGCGAACGAACGAGCGGGCGAAGGAACGAAGGCGAAGGACCGAACGACCAGACACGATCGATCGATCGATCGGTCGATCAATCGAGCGATTGATCAACCGGCAGCTCGACGAGACGAATCGAGTTCGCTCCGGCCCGCGATCGTCGAACGTGTGTCTGGTCGACGACATTATGTAAATTATGTGAGACTTGTCACGACGATATAACCGTGTCGAGTGATACCAGCGGACCTTTCCTAGAGAACGGTCAGCCGGCGACGATAAGGCCGGTTTGCAACACGTGCGTGAGTCTTATCGCGCGCGTTTTATCAGCGTTACGCGTGTTCGTTCGTATTTGACGGTTGGATTTTGAGCGACCGAAAGTTGTGAGAATACGACCGATAACTCTCGGCCTCTCGGCTGGAGAGACACGGAGAGCCACTTTCTGTCTCGCATCCACCGTAGGCGCGTTCACCGAGAGAGGTGTGACACACACCTTGCGCTCACCTATTATTAATCCAGGAAACGCATACACACACATTCACGGTAACATCTTCCGCGAAGAGGCTATAAATAAATTTCGCAGGAAGGGTCATTTATTGTGTACTTGGCTGCGCGATGCTACGCGAGAGTTGAAAATTTCACCGGAGAACGTGAACATGAAAAAGATGATAAAATGTAAAACATCTCAACTGCATGTAAAGAAGAGATATGTATGTATCAGCTGTCAAAATGAAGAGGAAATTTTATATACTGTTGTTGCAATAACATCTCAAAGCATTCTGCGTCATAACAACAATATTATTGTAAGGAGAAATAAAAACTGCGTAGTTGAATGGTAATGCGATAGATAAATAAAAAATCATACTTGCAAAAAGTTATAGGAAAAAGAAAAAAAAATTCAAGGGGACACCCGGGTTTGAACCGGGGACCTCTCGATCTGCAGTCGAATGCTCTACCACTGAGCTATATCCCCATTCGGTAACTCCATGTTTAAATTGCAGTCTTCACCTCTAGAGTACAACATACAATTTCACTTTTGGTATATATATAAAAGAGAAATTTTCCCCACATTAAAGTGTATTTAAATCTGTAACGAATGGAAAAAAATTTTGCAATAATTTTGGCATATAAAGATCTCCGATCTATTCGATGAAGTTTATCCAGCCGAGAGAGTTAATTTCAGATTAAAGAATTTAACTTGAAATTAACCTAATTCATTTCAATTAATTTTAATAAAAATTAATTTTTTATTTAAGAGGTTTAATTTGACGAGTGATTTACGCGATTGGACACGTAATAATTTTTCGGCGTGTCGAAACGACAAAATAGAAATTCCGACGCTAAACGGCTTTGCGAATCGCGATAAGCGATTTCTTGAAATAAAAACGGAGCCGTCCGTAGCAACGGATAAATAACGGACTTTCCGGAAAAATAATGGCAAGACCGGTTTTCCGACCCGTGACGGACGGGAGAGGCCTTTACCGTGCCGTATCTATCGCGATTATTACGGTAACAAGCGGTTATTACCGCATCGCCTCGGCGCAACGTTATGCGCCGTGAAGACCTGAATCGCTGGCGTCCTCTGTGTCGCGTTTCGATCCTTACGACGGGCAACGCGACGTCGGTAAAGCAGGGAACCCGAAATTAATCACGAAATTCGAATCTGCGGTGACCTTTTCAAAGCCCGAGAAATCAAAGTAGATTCGCTTAATTTCGTAATGTTCTCATCACATCTTGCCGATTCTCAAGCTGAGAAAGATGACAAAACTAGCAATTGGGATCATTCCAATCATTTTCTATATTCACATCGCGTGAAACATTTGAAAATAAAATTACAGCTACGAGACGGATTCCTGCAGGCTTCCGATTCGTGAAACCCATTCCCAGCAAGGGCTCGTTATCCCCGCGCGCTAATTAAGAGAAGTACTCACTGATTTCCGCTGGCCTTCTTCGTGAGCGGCAGAGTATTCTGCGTCGTCCGTTTACTAAACGGTTGCCGCCCGCCCGAGCCCACGGACATCCCGTTTCGAGCCTGAAAAACAGGAACAGCAATTGTACATTTCGAGACGAGCTGAACATCTCACACGTACGAATGGGGACACGCACACAGATAAGATGACACGCACAAGCGATAAACGTGAAAATCTCTCTCCGGCGGCGACTACTACTCCTCTCGAGGATCGTCATTCGCGACACGCGGCGCGACAGAGAGCGAATACACGTCTCTCTCTCTCTCTCTCTCTCTCTCTCGTTTAGCCGCGTCTTCCGGGCCGAGCGCGGAAATAAATAAAGAAGAAACGCATTAACGCGCACCGTTCCACTCTGATTCGCGTGCGTCGCGCTTAAGAGCGGCAATTAAAGCCGTGTGGTAGGCTATTACACACACAGAGAGAGAGAGAGAGAGAGAGAGAGAGAGAGAGAGAGAGAGAGAGAGAAAGAGAGAGACATGCGTAACGTACGCGTTGTATCGCGTGGTGGCGGATTGCCGGCCACGGATGCGGTTTTTAATAAAAAAGCGAGACGCGGCGCTATCGCCGGCAGGATCGGCGGGCGCGCGCTACGTCGTCTCCGACTTGCTTTTAGCAGGCGCGATTTCACGCGCGCAATTATCCGACGCGCTTAAATACGGAGATAATTATCGAGCCGCCTAACGTTCCCGTGCCGCTCTGATTGAACCGCCGCTGTGATGCGTCGTGTAGCGTTCGCGCCTAAGAAAAGCCTCGACGACGCGTATCTTTTCTCGTGTGCAAACTTCCGAGGACGCGTCGTCGCCGGCTCGCTGAAAACAGACGCCGCCGCCGCCTCGGCGCGTGTCCTATCTTTGCAATAATCATTCGCTGTATTGTCATTGCCGATGAGACTGCAAGCCACGGGCTAGATGTCGCAGACCGAAGATTGGAAGATTGATCAATCGGGTGAAATTAGGGAATTTTTGCAAAATATCGTCTCTCAGATACGGTAAATGTAAATCGTTATTTGCTCAGAAATAACGTCGCGATGTATATGTGCGATCAATAACACTCACGATCAATGTTTACCGTATCTGAGAGATGGTATTGCAAAAACTTTCTGGTGAGTCAGGACCGTGACGAAGATTCGTTGAATTCTCATTTGCGCGATCCCGCTATTCCGAAAAGTTCAGTTAACCCTTTAACGCCTACTGGTAACTATAGTTAGCAGAAACACATTTAAGAATCCATAACTTAGTCAAAAAAAGAGATAGATATTTTCGTTTCTCTTTTAGCACCACTGTAAAGGTGAATTCTTCTTCTAAAAAATGGTATATAGATTGTATGTAGATCCGGTTTAGTCTGTTTTTAACTCAGTTTTAATGATAACATGTTTGGTCAAATTCCAAGTAGGCATAGTTAGCATTGTTACTGATATCTAAAAGTGCACTATAAATGAACAGAATAGTGAATCTGTTATAATTTTATACATTTGGAAGCTTTCTCAGATGCAAAATGTGAAATTAAAAGAATACAGAAATTCAAAATGGCGAATCCAATATGGTGGACACGAAAATGAAGAAATCAATCTATTTTCGTGAAACCCGGCGACCTACAGCGCCTTTTATGCGGCGAAAAATGAAGGGACGATTGACTATCTAAATGATGATCTATAAGATATTCTTCTGAAATAGTAAGCTTGACGCTCTGAATGATAAACTTCACTCACAAATCTAGTAAAGTTTCAGCTGAAAAATGTCAAGCCGACTATCAGAGTTACGCCGTATAGATTATCCTTCATTTTTCTCTGTATAGGTTGCTCATTTCGTATATGCTTCTAGGACCCAAGTCATATTTATCAATAAACAAAAAACGAACGATAAAAACAAACCAGTATAAAATTCTGATATTTTTTTGGGTCATCACTACTTATAGTCTCAGTTGAAAAAAACTCAAATTTTATTCTTAAAACACTTATAAAAAAAATCGGGCGTTAAAGGGTTAGAGTCAACCGGCAAAGTCTCATCGGCTTGATCCAGTCGCGCGAATTTCTCACTCGGCGGACCGACTCCTTCCGTATCATTCCTTCACCGAACGTACACGTAACAGTCGGCTGAGTAATCCGACGCCATAACCGCGGATAATTATGCGCCTGACGGTGGCGGATCTCGTGTCGCGGTTCGGAAACGTAATAACGATCCGCCGAGCTCTTATCTGATTCTCCTCCCTTAAGGCCTCGGCGATAACAGAAAAGATTTTATTACAGCCGAGCTCTTCTCTTCGAATTGTCCAACGGTAAGAAGCAGCAAAGAATATTTCAAACTCGTTTACGCGCTTGTTTACGATTTTCACGGCGATCTCCATCGAGGCGCCATCTTACGGCTTTATCGGCTCGCGCCGACGCCGACCGTGATTCACTGTTATCTCTGCGCGTTATCTGCGTTATTGAATATTTATCGCATTCCAAATAAACTCGGGATCGTCGCTTTGCTCGCTCGAACGGACGACTGAGTGAATTTGACGAGACATGAAAATTCGCGCGCGCGCGCGCACCGAGTATTACCGAATTGCCGCTCAGCGCGTCTAGGAACTGCCGAATCATCTTCAGTCGCGGCTCGAACCCGGCATCGAATCCACCGTCTTGCACAAAGCACCCGCGCACCGCACCGCACCGCACGCACGCACCCACGCACGCACGCGTCTCACGTTACGCAGGACGAAAAGACGCCGGTTGGTCTTTTGTCGGCACCGCGCTCGCCGCGCACCTCCGCGAGATCAAACGCTCCTCTCACCGCGATGCACTTTGACACTTGCCGAAGAGTCGCCTTCGCGCTCTAACGGGAGCCTCGGCAAACGAGAAGAAAAAAACGGCAGGAGGAAAGAGGATACCCCGTGGCCCGTGAATGTCCCGTGTAAACCGTTAATGCGCAACGCGATTTCTACAAAATGCCGAGGAAACGACGACGGCAGTTCGACCGAGCTATCTCGAGAGCAGCCGAAAACATGCACATACGCACACATACACGCACGAGGGAGCTCGGCCGAGGACTGAGAGGAGAATTCGAACTCTCGAGATAAGAATGAAGCCGTCCGCGATAAGCCGGGAAATATCTACAGGTGAGTTCGTATTCACGCGTCTATCAACGAATACGAGACTCGACGTGACGAGAGAGAGGGAGGGAGAGAGAGAGAGAGTGTGCGCGCGCGCGGTAAACAGGGAAGAATTTGTCACCCCACCAAGAGTGGCCACCGCGGTAAGACACGTCGGAGATCAACGAACGATAAAAAAAAAAAAAAAAAAAAAAAAAAAACAAAAAAGAAAGAAAAGAAGGGACAGACAAAGAGATCGGAGAGAAATCCCAAGCGCGTCGACGTCACGATGATCGACGCGAGGCGCACCCGTGAATAAACCGCGCTCGGACAGAGATCTCGTTTTATCGCGGCGATAACACGGCGGAGAGGAGATCGCTCGCAGAGATCGCGATCTCCCGATCGCGGCGCGTCGCGTTCTCCGGTGTGCGCGGTCCGGCCGCGCGGTCGGCCCCGTGAAGACGCGGCGGCGGCGGCGGCGGCGGCGGTGCATCGAGGAGCAGGATTTCGTTCGTACCGTCACGGATACTACGCCGGGCGACTTCGATCGGAAGGCTATACGTATCCGTATACGTACCTCCTCGCGAGGGTCATCGAACCTCGGCGCGCACGTACGGGTTCTCTCGGCCAATAATAAAGATGCACGCCCGGTACGTAACTACGCTCTGTACATACGTGCGTAAGTACTACCCTGCTGCTGCACCCGTACCTGCTCTCCCCCCCCTCTCTCTCTTTCTCTCTCTCTCTCTCTCTCTCTCTCTCTCTCTCGCCGCTGAGTATACAAGGTGTCCCACCATCATTGCGATACCTGGCCGCTCGGTCTCGAGGTGTATCGACGGATGATTAATACAGCGGTAATTAAACGGTGTTATTAGCCGATTAAAAGTCCCGTTTGTAGGACCCTCGCCGCTTTTATCGCGTATGAAACTACCTCGGACTAATATATTTCATTTCCTCCTCATTTCGTCCTGGGCACTGAATTCTCGGCTGCGCACCTGTGCGCCTTCGGTAGAAGAAACGACTGATCTCTGAGATCTCAGGTGAGTCAGGTGAATCGTCATAAATCTCGGTGAGACCGACTGATCCTTGGAATCCGCGGAGGAATTGTGAAGTGATTCTCGTGGATTCTAAAACGCACCGGTCAAAAGATTACGGCCTCCGCCGCCGCGCCCCTCCTTCATCGTCACTCGTCGAACGGTTGTTGTTCGCCGTGGATTAATTATCCGTTATTGTTATTCAAGGTTGTTTAACCGCAACGAATGGTACCGCGATGCGTAATAAGACACGAACGCGCGAGCGATGGTGTGCGTGATACAAATGAAATTGCACCGCGACTCGGCTATTATTCACCGTGGAATTTCTGGCCGCCTTCTCGGATCGCTACATTCTCTCTCTCTCTGTCTCTCTCTCTCTCTCTCTCTCTCTCTCTCTCTCCCCCTCTTGCTCTCCACCTCGCTACGGTTTTTCGAATCCTGGATCGCAGCGTTTCCCGGACACCGTTACATTCTCGGACCGCGAATTCTAGGTTGCAACATTCCGAGGCTGCGTGTAGGGTTGCCAGATGCAAAATGAGTATTTCCGGGACATTTTTTAAATTGAAAAATAAGTTGTTGGAGAATCTTAATTAAATTTGGCAGATAGAAGAGTAAGAGACGGTTAAGAGATGTCGTTGCTTACTTGAACGAATACAATGAATAAATGTGTGAATTAGATACCAGCAGAGAAAAGTTTAGACACAAATCATATGATTGACTTTTTTCTTTCTTTTTTTTTTTCACTACACAAATGGTTTCTCGGGTGGCACGTCAAGAATTTTTCGACCTTATAAATCCCGACGATTGCTCTCGCACATTTCTCTCTAGTACTAGCTAAAAACAACATAAATATTATGATTATAATTTTCTTGAAATTTTTCGGGACACGGGTGCAAACTTCCCAAAAATTCCGAGACAATCCCAGAAATCAAGGCCATCTGGCAATCAATCCTAGTTAC